ACCACAGTGTATGTGACACAGAGTGACAAAAAGAAAGAAAGAAAGAAAGAAAGAAAGAAAGAAAGAAAGAAAGAAAGAAAGAAAGAAAGAAAGAAAGAAAGAAAGAAAGAAAGAAAGAAAGAAAGAAAGAAAGAAAGAAAGAAAGAAAGAAAGAAAGAAAGAAGAACAGATGTGAATCTCTGCAAAGGGGGCCCGCCTTCCACCATCGTCCTCTGGATACTTCGTGTAATAATGATGATTTTTCCATTTATGTAACGTGACGGTCGCTCAATCTGTAATCTGAACAGCGCCTTTCATAGCCATAGAATTTTTTTAAAACGTTTTCGTCAGTGATCTTTTTTTTCTTTTGTGACAGAGTGAATGAAAGCAGCATGGAATTGTGAAATAAAAGGGAAAAACCAAACATTTTTACTGTAAAAGTGGAGTCTCTTGTCATCTAGAAAGAGAAAGTATTGCCTTTTTTTCTAAGTGAAAGAGCTTCATAGTGTACCCTTTGACCTCTGCCTGTACCTTCTAGGTTCACTGGAAAGTAAACCTCCAATTCATTTTCAAGTCTTTCGCCTCCAGCATCATAGCTTGATGCTGCCACTACCGGGTTTCACACTGAGGGGTTGCTGTGTCACATGTGTTGTTACTCTTCTACCATGTTCATCATGTTTTCCACAAGTGTCCTGCTTTGTTTATGGTGAACTTTAAACTGACCTTCTTACAGGTTTCGGTCAACAATGGTTGTCTGAACGCTTATTTTTGACAGCTCAAACACCAAATATACTTTAATGTGTCTTAATAAGCACAGTGAACACTTTATTAGCAGTACAGCAGACGCTGATATCTAGTCTTCCTTATTTTTTCTCAAACTGGAATAGCCAATCAGTGAGAGGGAAATTCAATGCAAACAACAGTCAGTAGCACGTCAAGTATCAGGTTTTCAAAAGCTACATATAATTTTCCTTCCACTTTTCAGTCTCTGTGTCACATGAAACCTCTATAAAGTTCATTAAACTTTGTGTGATTAAAAATGTTGAAATGGTGTGAATACTTTAGCAAGGCACCGTGTTTAGAACATGGATTCAGTTAAACAGAGTAATTTCGCTTTGGCACGTTTTTTTTTTCGGCTGTGCATTTGTTGCTTCATAAATTCATTCTTTTATTGACACTGCAAATAGTACCTGTGTGGATCAGATGGAAGTTTTGATGTGAAGAAAAAGTGAAACATTTCCATTCTCAGCCGCTCTGGTTAACCAGTGCAGGTTTCCACTTGCAGGTGTTTGCTCCACAAACCTGCAGAACTCTACCTGCTCAGCACAGAAACACCAAATCTGGTAACAAAAAAAAAACAAAACAAACAAAAAAACCCCCATAAATGCTGACATAACATTTGCGGTTGCTGAAGATAAAAACAGATAAGTTCGACTGCATTTAGGTCTCACTTTTTTTTTTTCTCGGAGGAAGGCAGAAACGATGTGGCAGCCACAGCATTTTTTTTCAATCATATGTTTGTTCTGGTGCCACCAAGTGACAAAAAGAGCAGGTTTCACCCAAAAACAACCTTAGAGTGGAAGCATGAGCCACTGTGCTGATGCAGCTCAAAAATCGGGTGTAATGAACTTATGACCTGATTTGTTAGAGTGCACATCTATTAAAATCACTTCATTTACCTCACAGCTTTATTGCCAGTTAGCCTCATCGAGGGGGGGGTGGGAGGGGTCTGGGGCAGAGGAGGATGTATTTTAGCACTTCTCCATTGTACAGTCTTCACAATAGGACCGAGCCTTTGATCTTGGAGGGGTGCATTTCTTCCCTCACTCTCTTCCTCCTCCTCAGTTCTGACCCACCACGTACCGCCAAGAGGGCCGAGAGCAGAGAAAAGGAAATGAAACACTGATTGAAACGAATGAAAATATAATGAAGTGAAGAGAGCGGTCGAGTCTGGAAGACAGGGCAAGGAGGGGAAACAAAAATCAGTTGTTATTCCTTCCTTATTACAGAGCCTGAGGGACTTTTGGCTCTTTGAAACATTGTTTGCGGTGCACCGTCGAGGCCCCCTTGTCTCTCCACTGACACAGCGTGTGTGCTGCCACAGAGGAACATAAACCGGCTGGGGAAAAACCAAACGAAAGGGTTTAAGCTTGTAGGAAGAACCAAAGGACTGGGTGGGTGAAAAAACAAGGATGTGTGTGATATATCCTGATTTTTATTTCTTGTTGTTGTTATTCTAACAGCACTGCTTTTTTTAGCCATGTGATTTTATCTGTTTCTCCAACCAAAGACTCGACCCTCGCAGTCCATCGATCCGGAGTGTGTGTTCAGACCTGAGTGTGTGTCTCCCCTCGCTGGCCCCCCTGCCATGAAACAAGCCAGCTTTGCAATACCTGAACTCCACCAAACCACAACCTTTTCTTTTCTAAGCTTCAGTTCTTTGCACCTGTTTATTTCGTTTCCGTTTTTCCAATGTATGACCGTTTTGTCAGGATTCCAACTTGATAGAGGCTGAAGGTTCTGGACGGATGACACGTGCCCAGCCTGGAGAGTAAAGAGACCTCCATGTTGTACAGATATTAAGTCGTCAACGGGACCCCCGACGTTCTTGTTTCGAGGCAATAGTGCCACAATGCGGCCAACAAACGTTTCTTTTCTGCTCGATTGGTCCGATATCCTATTATGGTCTATGCAACTTTCATCAGCATTGAAATTACAGGTTCTGTTAAAAGTTTATTCTGTTAAAAGTATTTGCCACAGTTTGTGGCAAATACATTTTTGGTTGTTTGTGAAGCATTTCAACCACTTTCAACCATTATCCAACAATAAACTTCTATGAACTTTAAAAACAACAACCATTCAAATTTATTTTGTTTTTGTTTTTTCTCATACGTCCCCTAAAGTTGCAACTGTCATGTGAACTTTTCCAAGTCTTTAATAAGGTTCTGGCTTGACCAGTAATTTTGGATGAATCAGTAAAGATGATTTAAACCAGTGTGTTTCTGGGCCTCCGGGGGCCTGATGTGCGCTTGGGATCATTATCCTGCTCCAAAACCTAATTCCACCCAGGTTTTACCCATTTGACCCTGAAGGTCAACCTTAGATGAAAGAAAATTGGTTAAGATGCCTAAAGTGAGGTGAGTTCTACATCAATATGGACTAATTAGGGGACAGTCAAAGAGTTTAATGTCCAGATAAGATAAATGTTGTTATTTGGCATTGAAGCGAATATATTTGCCAGGAGGAATTAGGCTATAGAATGACTGCTAGTCATGGCGGTGGTGGCATTATTTCACTGCCAGTGGTTATCGGTGAATCTTATAAATTGGATTTCACACTGCAAAAAAATAGGATAACCTCCAAATCCTTCCATCTTTGAAACAAGGACATAATTTGGTCTTCAAACAGACATCTAACATTGCGAGGATAGAGCGGGGCAACTTTAAGTCAAACACAAACCCAATGAGAATTGGTGGACTTGGTTTAAAAGCAATCGTTGCATGGAAACCAGTCATACAATGGGCTACTGAACGGTTTGAAAAGTGTCCAGCCTGAATTTAGTTCTGCGTTTTTCCGGCCACACCAACCAGTCACAGTGATTTTCACTAGAGCCACATTCACAGACTGCAACCATTGTTGCAAACTTTGAGGCAAGAGTCAAAATGTTGTAATTCGTAGAAATGCACCGCACTTTATTTATGTGCTGGGTGTACTGCCTGCTTAAAAAGAAAAAGACAGAACACTTCCTTTCCATATTATGACTCATTCACTATCTCAGTCACTCATTAACATGCTCTTAATCTATTCTGCGCTCTCTGACAAGACCTTTGTTTTCTCAGGACAGCTCGGAGGATCTGCCTTAGAAACCAAGAGGCCTTTCCTGCACTCCTCCACCCAGATGTTGACCCCCCTCGGCTGGATCTCCGTGTCCCTTATCCCTGCACCCACACCCTTGAGGGAGTTCACGGGGGTGGAGAATATCCTATTCCGACAAAACTCTGCCGTCCCAGACGTAAACACGGGTGACAAATGAGCCACAACGTCAGCTATCAGGTGTCGGCACGGAAGATTAATAAGGTAACAAGACAATGGGAGGCAGGAGAAAAACCCTATCTAGCACCAGAACAAAGGAGACTTCTTTCCCACCACAGCACTTCAGCTTCAGCTGCCATGAAAAATGAAAACAAAAAAAAAACATTTCTCCTTCAAGTCCCTCACTTTTCTTATCCGTGCTGCACAGATTGGACTTTGTCGCAGAATCTAATCAGTGGTCGATGGATCACTTGCGTGACATGTTTTGGTGCGCTTCAGGGAAGTTGTTGCGAAATGAAGCATTATTGTGAAATTACATGAAGGAAGCCGCGAGTCATGGAAAGGGAAGTCGGAGGTCAGACAAAAAAAAAAAAATAACCGACTGTAATTGTGTCTGCAGCCGGTTAATTCGCGGTGCTGTGAAAAAGCATTTGCGGCGTTATAGATTTGAATGCCGCAAATATCTGTTTTTAGCACGCTTTAATGTTTCAGTGATCTTTGGTCAGCCACATTTTCTGGAAAACTGAAGAGTCAAGAAATCTCTTAAATGGAACCTGCTAGGAAATATGAAGTCGACTGAAAAATCTTAAAAGTATCGACAGGCACTCCAAAATGGTTGACTTTACACAACTCTGCAAAGAAAACATGGGCCAAAACTTTTCCACAGCGACATAAAAGACTCACAGCCAGTTGTTGCATGTGCTTGTTGTTTGGTTTTACCAAGGCTGGCATAAAAATTTGTTGGGCAATTACTTTTCACGTTGTCCAAGTTTGGTTTGGATGTTGTTCATTTAGTAAATGTGAGCTGCATTTTGTGATCACCCAAGTTTTCTTTATTTTCATATGAATAGTTTATGATTAAAAATCAGGAACGCTCTTTTTTTCCCCCCTCATCACTGCACAAAGTGGAGTCGTCCACTTTTCCTTCAGAATATATGAAAATTATTACAGCCTTCCTTATCTGGAACTTGACATTATCTTGAGGTCTGCTGACTAGAGAGAGATATAGCACATAAACTCACAGTGACCTGCCCACTCCTCCATCTCCAAATTATGGAGGCGATGACGGTCAAGAAACGAGACAAACGTCCAAGTTGGAGAGGAAGGGAAACCCGGTTCCCGCTCCCCCCAAGGATCGCCTGCAGGTAATCTAAACAGTCTTTCTGATATGCCCTGAAGATTCACTTTAATTCCTTTGCAGCATGTCTGCAACCACCCTGAAGAACTGAAACCGGAGACTCGGTCCACAGGAGAGAACCTCCATGCAGCCCTTTGTCAGCTCACAATGCGCAGTTACAAACTGAGCTCTGACGTCGATTCCTCATGCAGCTCCTCGGGGGAATTAACTGGAGCATATGTAGCTCCCTGCATTTGCTCTCACTAAGCCCACACTTGAGCTCTAGAGAGAGCCCGGTGTGGTTTACCTTGCCCTAAACTTGCCCTTTCATATTACTCAGACCAATTGAGACTCGAAGGTTCACTGGGTCCGACTCTGATAGCACGAAATCCAATTCTGCCTGAATTTATTCTCAGTCCTGTACTGATAATCATGTGTGGTTAAACAGTGATACAATTTTAGAAACATGTAAAAAAAACAAAAAAAACAAAAACAAAACACTGTTTCAAGTAAATGTTGATGTTCTGTTTGTTGCAATTCCCACTCACTCCTCTAGGTGGCACTGGATCTCATTACCGACAGTTGAACATTGTTTTTAAACACTCTCCAACTGACTACTGAAAAAATGAATTATTCAAACAAAATCGAACTGGCAAAGAACATGCAAAAAAAAAAAAAAAAAAAAGCCAAAAGGAAAGTAAATACAACATTGTATTTGAAACAAAAGACAATCCTTTTAAACAATAAACTAAATATTGAATGTTCCAACTATGTCTGATTGAGACAAGATCACAAGCAGCTAAAATACAACATGCAGCTAAAACAGGCTGATGATGGAGGAATATGAATATTTAGATCACAGACTGGCGTTAGATGCAGTGTTGATGATGTCTTCAAGAAGGGACAAAGTCAATGTCAATTTTTGGGGAAGATGTTATAGCCAGAGCTCCATCCTACATTGTTGCATTCGAAGGGCCTCTGTGAAACTCACACCTAAATTCAAAATCTGTGGCTTGACTTCAAATTTGACATACACAGACACCCTCCAAGCTAACAAACAGTTCATGAGAAAATGCATCCTAAAGAAACAAACTTGCTGATCTACTGTGTTCTTTAAGTTCCTCGCTGCTGGTCAAGATTTCCCGGATGGTTGCTGATGCTGGGCCCTGATTGGCTCACAGGGGAAAAACTAAGTTGAGTGACAGCCTGTCAGGAGGGATCCATGGGGTGACAATGTCCCGCTTGAGCGGCTCGGAGATCAGCTTACTAACAACAGCTCCACTGGTGAAGCTTTCTCAGTAGGGATCCCGCTTTTTATGCCCCTGCCACTTATTCTCAGAGCGTAGCGACCGTCCCCTCCAAAGTCCCCTAACAAGGCTGTCTGTGCATATCATTGCATGTGTCCTTTATGTGCATGTTGAGGTTTGTAATAAAAAATTAAACTTGAACTCGCATTGCTACCGACTTGCAGGGACTAGGGTCCCATGCAACAGGAACAGAATCTGACTCGAGGAGAAAAGATCTCGTCTGTGTTTTGTTTGGCATCAAAGATGAAGGGCAGGAGGCTTAATCTGGGGGGAAAGATAATAATAATTTTTTTAAAAACTACCATTTTCTGTGGGGTTCACCGTTTGTCCAGGCCCTTTAACGCTTTCATCATTTCAGCTTTTCCCAGCTGTCTGACCTCAGAGCTTTTACATAATCGGTGTTGCAAAAGAATGCGTCTCCCGAATAACACAGCGCGCTGATCTGTACCATTCGCCGGAGTCTGGCTGCTGTTGTTGCTGGCGGGCGGAGGGAGTCGGATTTTTAGCAGCCGCCTGGAGTCTCTCAGAAGAGACACTGGATGCCCTGTAGAGGACCAGATAAATGGTGATCAATGACTTGCAGATAGAGAGAGGAGTGTTGGTCTGGGGCAGAACCCAGACAGATACAAGCTGTTTGAGTTGAGTCTGTTTTGTTGCCAACTTGGTGTTTAAATGTCCATGTGCAATAACCACGTGCGGAAACGAGGATGTGTTGTCTCAGGTGAACTTGTGCAGAGACTTTTTCTATTCCAACCAAAAACATCCCAATTCTTTTTATGTGGATTTTATTTGTGTGTGAATTGTGAAAAGGAAAGAAAACCGCCGTGCTTTCATAAAACTGCACAAATCAAAATTTTGAGAATAAATACGCTAAACATGGCAATTTTGAAAAAGAAAAGAAAACAGTCATGTTTTCAACAAGTGTTGTTTTTTTTTTTTTTTTTTTTTTTGCTGTATCGAAACCAAAAACGCTTTTTTTTCCGATAACACCAGTCACATGATCAACACCCGGATGTTCCTAATCACAAAAACAGAGGGAAGTTATAGGAGGATGACGGTTCGTAAAATGTTGTGCATATTCAGCTGTTCAAAACACTTGGTCTCACCAAGCGCTGCTACTCCCCCACTTAACTCCATCAGACTAGCGGCAGCAGCAACTACCAAACACCTGGTGGAGCTGCGCCTCATACGGGCTGTTGTGATGACTTCCTGAAGGTGCGGCGTCAGAAAGAGCAGGAGCTTCTTAAAGACACAGAGGCACAATTTCAAGGCTTTAAAGTGCAAAGTCAATTTTTCTTTAAGCCATGTTTCATATAGACAGCAGTTTTAAAACAACTTAAGGTAACATAGTTACTTGTTTGTGCAATAAAATGGCACTGGGAAAATACATGATGCTGCCCCTTTGTAAAGTGTCTCCATGTAGCGTGTAGCTCAGTCTGAGTCTGAGGTCTTGGTGCTGGATCTTCCTTTCAACCCATGAAGATGTATGAATCCAACAATGCAACAGTTTATTTCATGGACAAAGCGATTCTCTCACTCGGCATCAAGGCTTTTACAGCTTCTGACAAGTTTTATTCCAGGATTTCCAGCTGCCGAAACTCAAGGTTGTCGTAACACGACAAAAAGTAGAAAAGGAAATTAAAGGAATACGAGTGCAAGACACCTTTTTACATGTCCATTTCATCTGCATGCAGAGATCAGATCTCGTCCTTTCTCCCGTGAAGAAAGCGGCTCGTTGTCTTGGAGCTAAAGTCTTGCCTGATCCGACCCGAAACCACTCTTGCACGGCTGAAGCACACTGCACACTGAAGACGGCCCTTGTTCCCAGCTGTTTGTTCAGCTGGCCCACTAGCAGGGACACCGGGGGAGACGCCGATCCAACCCCTCCCTGAGTCCAGTCAGACACCTCCACCTCTGCTCCCACCCAGGTCACCAACCTCCTGACCCCTTTACCCTGCGGTTATTTGCTCCAAGGCCCCCATCGCCTAAGAAGGCTGTTTTGTTCTGCCCTCGTTTCGTCCGGAGTCTCGGCTTTAGCTCTTGTCATCAGCGCCATTGATCTGCCTCAAAATGAGAGCTGATTAGGGGATCCTGCAGTTTGTCCCGTTGAATGGTTTGGCCTAAGCTGGGCAGAGCATGGCAGGATCATGAGGGGGGGCGTCATGAGGATGAAGGACAAGGGTCAAAGGGCGCAGAGAGCCAGCACAGTCAGGCATTCATGTTGAAAAGTGCAACATGAATTCGGTTTTTTTAGGAGAATTGGATCAAGCCTGCTTGGTTGTGTTTTCACTTCCAACCTCATATGACTCTGAGAGTTGCTCAAAAAGAGATTACATGTGATATTTATTTTTAATAATTGCTATTTTTTCGCAGCTAAGTGTCAAATTTTCTCGTTCCGCAACCAACACTTAACACAAAACCAAAAGCAGTATTCAAATAAGTGACCCGGTTCTAGATCCAATGTCCTCAAATCCAAACTCCCTAAAATAAACAACATGATCCGTTTGGATCTTACTTGAGGCTGGATTATGTTTCCCATTCAAACAAATAACCTCGGTGTGTATATTAAGCCGGACTAAGGCAGACTTCCTCCCAAGCCTGGATGTTTGAGTCACATCCAGGCTTGATTCCCATGTCCACATGTGACAAATCAGTTAGAGCAAAGGGATAAACAAACCAGAGTCTGATCCGGCCATATCAAATAGCAGAGCTCTCTGAATCGGGGCTGCAAAATGCCCCAGATCGATGGCCGCCCAAACGCCAGACATCCCTGACCACAGTTGAGTTCAGCATCCCGAAGCAAGACGTTCCTGTCTGTGCGAGTGCAATCCATGCATTCGTCTTTGTTAGGATTCATGGGTGTGTGTGTGTATCTGTGTGTGTGTGTGTGTGTTTTTATCGGCCAAGGGGCCTTATAATTACAATCTTAGTGTAATCCAATACTCCCAGCACTCCCTCTATAAACCGAGAGTCCTGGACTCTCCTGGGTCGGAGATTAAGGATGAAGCCCCGCTGAATGAGTCGCAGATTACTTTGAGGCATCCTCAACACTTGTCAAGAAAAAAGAAACGTCAATACTATTAGAGAATGGGGAGACAGTCAAAGTCTGGCTGATTGGGAGACGGAGCACTTAATGACAGAAAAACTTCAAACAGCCGCGCAATTAGTTCCAGAGGCAAAGACAGAAGTGGTGATTTGAAGTAATGAACGGTGTTGTATATCAATGGGATATGGACATATTGTGGACATGCTTGGAAGGGGACTTTCCTTACATATCTGATCTGAAAGAGCCTCAGTGGTGCCTTTGTTTCCTCGCTTGTTTACTACACGCTGAGGTTTTCCACAGATTTGAGCTGGTTTATTGCATCACGCTGTGTGGATTCAGCAAAACCCGTCAAGTCAATCGTGAAAGTGGAAAGGATGTGGCACAACTTCAAATGCGCCAATACGGAGCCACTTCCGAGAGTCCAGTGCCGTCTCTGGAGGAGCTGCAGACAAGAAGGACTCAGCATCAGCTTCTGCGCATTTTCAAAGATAAAAATGAAAAATTTGGCTCGATTGAATACATTTATTCTCAATAGAAGAGAAGGATTTGGGTCACTTTCTTCCAAGAAGTTTGCTACATCTAGCCAAGCTCAAGGCTGATTTGGATGCAGCAAAGTCGGCTTTTCAACAAAAGCTCGGCTCATCATTAAAGCCTGGCTGTAAAAAAGATGAAAACTTAATAAGTTTGCATTCGTCACAAGAAAACTGTGCTTGTAATAATTTCACCACGGCTAAAAATAGCGCAAAGTGGGAATAATGTCAACCGTAAAGAAGGTTAAAAGGGACATTAATACATTTTGCAAGCGTTGTTTGTCACATCATTAAACAGCAAATGAAGCCGATCCCTCTTGACAGAGATCCTTTTTTCTTTTTTCTTTTTGTTTCCAGAGCCACATGCTGATCCGATGCTATGCTGTGTCACAGGTCAAAGTTCACAAGGTTGGAGAGGGAGTGGGAGGGGGTCGGTCGCTGTGTCCTCACATCCGTCTTGATTCATTCGAGGTCTGGAAGTAGTCAGTGGCCAGACCTCCTTTTCCTTCTGCAAACTGTCTGTCCGTTCCTGACAAACAGCCAGATCAGACGAGAGCTTAAAGCCGTGTCGGCGCTGAGTGGCCTGACGTGATCCACCAGGGGAGACACTCGTTGTCTCCCTGCAACAAACAACACCTTCTTTCTCCAAGATATTATTGCTGCAGTGACAAAAAAATAAAAAATAAAAGAAAGATTGAATTAATCAGATAAGTCGTGCTGCTTCTTCCACAGAGTTTCCTGGACGTGGCTCTCGGAACACATTCCAGTGAGCTTTCATTTATACGATCCTAATTAGAGTCATGCAAGCGCAGAAAAAAAAGCCCTGCAATGCTCCATCCGCACGCAGCGCGCTGAACCTCAGCGATCAAGTTAGCCGTTGCAGAAGAAGAAGAAAATCTGCAGGAATCTGTCGAGCAGTTGACATTTTCCTCATTGTCGACTTTGACATTAGTGCGCTTTGAGTGGAAAAGTGTAATCTATGCAACTGACTAAAACTGACCGTGACAAAAGAGATGCGTCAGAGACTTTGTTTACGGGAAGGAGAGAGGCGATCACACAGAAAGAGTGCACAAAGTGACATACAGATACAACCAAAAGTCGCAATTAAAGTAAAACAAAACAACAAAAAAACGTCAAAGTAATCACCATGCAATGTCGGTATTACATAGAAACATATCAACTGTAAAACACAATTTTAAAACAAGAAAATGGTTGAGATCTGACAGAGTGGCGTGGTGACAATAAGAGCTGTGCGCTTTAAAGTAAAGGTGCAGTCATCAGTAATGCTTTCAGGAGTCAACAGCTTCTGATCGTCTCAACTTTCGGTGAGTTGATCCCAGAACTTGAAACTGCAAACTGCTCCCCCTTGTTTAGTTCCAGTCTGGGGAACGCCGAGTAAACAACTCTGACCACTTCAGGTCCTGATCCAGGCTCACCTGGACCAGGACCTGTCGAGCACCGTGCAGGCACAAGATGACTCAAGACTAGAAGCAAGATGTTAAAACTTTTGAAACAAGGTAGTTGGGCTGTTGTAAAAGAATATTTTGGCAATCGAGAACTCTCCATTATTTTACGATTGACTGAGTAGTTCGGAGAGAGTCCAAATAGTTTGCATGTATTTTTTTTCTTTCTTTCCTGCTTACGGAAAGTTTCTGTCTGTATCACAGGTTTGTGTTGCTTTTCTGTCCTAAAGAAAAAAAAATACAACACTTCAGATATTCCATAACGAGATGTTAACATGGAAATACCTCACACAACCAAGCAGAAAGTAAAATGGCCACTGTAAGAAAGGCTTACAGTATTCAATTGTGCCGCATTAACTGATCAGTGCATGATTGAAAGCAAACAGAAAATGTCCTTGACGGGGACAGAAAAAAATAATGATCAGTAAAAAAATAAAAAAACAACAACACAACAGAAAAATGACGATATCAGATGTAGTATCTGACGTGAACTTGAATCAAATTGGGCTCTGCGTTTTGAAGCAGATCTGTCGTGGAGTTCCTTCACGTTGTCATTGCGCTGCTCTGTCTAAAGACACCAGGAGCATTTTGGCCCAGATTCAATCAGACGCGGAAGCAAAGCAGAACAGACACAACACCTGACGTGACTGTCTTTCTCACTCAGGGGGGCTTCATCAGAACAATGTGGTCATTATAGTTACATCAGCAAAGCGTCTGACGAGGTTTGGGCCCAGAGGAGGAATTTGTTGAGTAGTGTAAAAAAAACAAAAAAACAACAACAACAACAAAAAACAAGAAATTAAACAGTTTGAAAGAGTAAAAAATGAAGCACTGAGATAGATGCACCAGAGGGAGAGAGAGGAGGGAGAAAGCCTGGAGCAGTGGCTTGGCTGAACTCGCTGTGAACCTGGGCAGATTTATTTTCTCCGGAGCCTTTAGCCTGCTCAAAGGGGGGGCCAGATTTACATGCCTCTCCCTGGACCGCTGTGAAACACAGACAGAGGAGACGATGATGGGAGCCAAAGAGGAGAAGATGGAGGCCTTTTGTGTGTGTGTTTGTGTGTGTGTGTGTGTGTGTGTGTGTGTGTGTGTGCGTGTGTGGGGGTGTGTGTGTGTGTGTGTGTGTGTGTGTGTGTGTGTGCGTGTGTGTGCGTGTGTGTGTGTGTGTGTGTGTTCACAGGTTATGGAGGTGACGGGAGTGGGAGGCCAATTATTTGCTGTTTTAACCATCCGTCTGAAGGTTTCACGTGTTTTTGGCGGAGCCTTCCAGCTTGCCAGTTTGCCATCCTAATTAGAAACAGCTCCCTTCTTCAAACCTGGGTGTTTCATTTAAAAAGCCCGTCGCTGTTACAGACGGGGCTGGTGTGAGCTGACGGATCCCTCCTCTTGCTGCTCCGCTCCCTGGCGGTCACCCACCCACCGCGGCGACACATGCCCGTGTTTTGTTCTTTCACCGCGAAGGTTATGTAAGTTTTGCACAATAACGGGTTCAAGTGACACAGAGTACAAGTAAACAATGAAGTGGGGGCCAGGAAACATAGTGGGGAAACTGTACAGTACAGCATTATGTTTTATGTTTTGGTAAAAAAGAAAAAAAAAAAAGAAAAAAGAAGGATGTTGAGTCACAGGGATTTTTCTTTTCTCATATATCAAAAAGTTGTATTTATTTAAAAAATTATTTTTTATGTTTTTCTCATTTACTCTTGAATTTTGCAAAGCAGTAACAATGAGGTGACATTTCTTGTTAAATCTAGTCATGGTAAGTTAGATTTACAACAAAACCACAGTTGATTTTAATTTTACCAGAGACATTCAGACCGACCACTGATGCCTGTTTTCCTTGTTACTGTCGCAACATGCTCTCATTCAGGAAAGAGGGAATGCTGCGAAATAAGTCCAGCAAACACACAAATACTCATATCTTTTCTTGAACCTAATGTCACTGTGTTTTTCGGGGTGTGTGGGGGGTTTTCTGAACAATACCACTGACTCTGGTTCTCATTCCCAATTCAATTCAAATTTACTTTATTGATCCCAAAGACAAATGAAATTTGGGTCGATTTGCCCATGAAACAAACCGCTGGTGGAAGTCATTAACTGAAGTTGCACAACAACATTTGACTTTCAAGGAAAAAAATGAGCAGAAAATCCATTTTATCCTACAGTGAAGCCCTACAGATTCATGGTTCAGTGTTCACTGTTAGTGGATTTTTCTGTGTGATGTCATTTCTAATTATTTGAGCAAGAATTGCCTGTAGTTAGAGATTCTTTTTTTATTATTTTTTTACAGTGAGAATATTAAAAATATTTGAAAGAAAATGTATCTCTGGAAGTTAAATTGACTAGGATCAACATTTTGTCTTGAACAATCTGCACCAAACACTGCATATTTTTTCATATTACATCAGGTATTCATTTCCGTGAGATAGTCCAAGTAAAGGCCACAGACTGAAATCTGGGTGACGCTTGGGAAGTCTGAGAAAGAAAACGGAGAAGCTCTGTCTTGATAACGTGGGTTAAGCGCAGATCTAATGTGTGAGGCCAAAAGCAAAAAAGCACTTGTGAAACTGCCATTAAAACAAAATTTAGAGGAAGTAAAATCAAGCTCTGCAACAATAAATAATATTATATATTATTATTATTATTATTATTATTATTATTATTATTATTGTTCCAAATGCTGCACAGCCCAGGTTAGCAAGGCTTTTTCTTATCAATTGAGTGTAGGCTTGTAGCAATTATTTTCATTTCAATGATTAAGAAATGTGAAATAAATAAGCAAAAAATGAAAAAACAGTCTCTGCACAGGACTATTGATTTGATTTCATGATGTGAAGAAATCACTTCAAATATTTCAGCTTAATAGTTGCAGAGGTAAAAAAAAAAAAAGGGGGGGGGGGACCACATGGAGAAACTCAAAAGCTGTCAGCGCAGCCAGAAAGGACAACTTGGGACATGTAATTCCTACTCCAGGTATGAATCTGACAGACAGCCTGAACTTATAACACGCCATTTGGCCCTAAAAGCCATTTGCAGCTAATGTTAGCTCGCTACATGTGGAAAGTTAAAACCCTGCTCCGCAGTCAGAGCCTGGCTGCTCTGACTTCAGAGCAGCCAGAGCAGCTTTCATTGATAAAAATTTATCGTTTCAAGATCACAAAAAAACTGGAAACCAGTGCAACAAAAGGGATTCATTCACAACCAGCCTCACTCGAGTGAGCATCATTCTGCACTCATCGTCGGTGAGGCATGAAGTCATTTTTCTCCAGGTTAGAGTTCCCTTTGAACTGATATTTAGAGTTTTTCAAAATCTCGAGACAAACATTGTGTCCAACCAAGAAGCACGTCTTTCCAGAGCATGTCTACCTGTCCTGCTAAAGGCAGACGTAATACTTTTTTGTTTGACCAACAAGCAGCCACACGTACCTTTGACATAGTCCTGCTGACAAACGGTCCATTTCGAAAAGACACAGTTTAACCTCAAAAGTCACCAGACTGTGATGTTACGAGTCGTCAGCCACATTTTGGCAGGTGCCTCCTGTTTTCATCGGGCAAAGAAAAAGCTCTTTGTGTTCCAGGAAGGTGTGTTTTTGAAATCACGAATCCACACTCAGTGTGGAAATCTTGCATACTTTCAAGATTTTCAGGTTGTCTGGCTTCAAATTATGACACACACATTTGCATAAGTACATGCATTTTAAAATTTTGGTGACAATATTTGTGCATATATTTTTTGCAATTAAAATAGTTTGACTATTAGTGACATAGTTTCTCTTCCATTGTTCTAGCACAGGCCAGTTTGAAACAGCTGCTCGTTTAGCATCCTAGAGCTGACCTCCGTCTAATTTAAAAAGGATTTCCGCTTTTTCTTCAGCCGTACGTCACGCGCTGTAACAGTAGAGGATAAGGCTGTGTGCGAGCTCACACTGCAGCCCACTAAGCAATGGAGGTCGGGGGGGATTATTTAGCTGTGCTGCACCTCTCACTCAACTCTCTGTGAACCGGCTGTGGAACCAGGGGTCAGTGACTCTAGGTTTCATATCATTTTTTTTACCCCCCTCCCACTCCTCTGCTTATTTGGCCAGGGTGAGCTGAGGAGGAGGCAGAAGGGCCTGCGGACCCCTCATCTCGGAGCGCTCGCTCTGACAAGAAACACGGCGCACGCACGTAGGAGCGACGCAGAGAGAGTGAGGAGGTGCGAGGGTGAAAGGGCGACCGAGAGAACGGCATAAGACC